AGTGCAACATTGTGCATCATTGCTTGCTCCCTTTGCCGTTGTACAGTGGTAGCACAAGGGCATCCTTCAGCTCAGGAGGCACCTCCTCCTCAATTCACACGCGTTGCACCAAGTGTTGCAGCGCAGTCAACAGCGCGAGTTCGCCGTGTTTCAGTACTTCAGGCGGGATCCCGTCGGATCCGGCACACTTGCCGTTTCGCAACCGAACAAGTGCTTACTGCGTCTCATCCAGTGTCGACATTTCCGCCAGACTTATCTTCACCTCGTGCTGCTTCAAGCCGTTCAAACTAGGCCAGTCGATCTCTGAACGGTTGTTCAAGAGACAGCCAAAGTGTTTCTGCCGGATCTACAGTCTGTGTGCAGGTAGCACCTGAGCTACCATCGATCAGCGTCCTCAGCTGCTCCAACCTCGGGCCATACACCGCCTTCAAGGAGTCAAAGAATTCCTTGTGTTGGCGGCGTTCGGCGTAGCATTCCATCTGCTTCGCCTTCTCCGTGCACCGTGCATTTTTAATGCGACGGAGCTCTCGGGTCAGTCGCCGTTGATGTTTGCGATACTGACTCTTCTTTCGCGAGAACGAAAGACCATCTGATGAGCAATTGCTTTCAATAATTCATCATCAGACCATTACAATCATATAGAGGCTACAAATAAAAATCGACCCAGTTAGTTCAAAACAAATAGATCACGTGAAGGTCTATGTCAGAGATGAGAAAACGAATTAGGTCTTAGTGGACTAGTTGTTTTCTACCTCGTCTGACCGAAGGCAGTCGACCTGGGCGTCTTCCGTTTTTGCTGGCCAGGGAAGTTGGAGAGCCTGGACCAGCTTCTTCTGTGAGCATAAGGACGGCTGGAACAATCGAATGCATATTGCTTCAGCTGTCGCAAGTGTACGAAGGCGATAACCTTTCCTTCTTTGCGGCGGAACCTTGTAAACTATTAGGAAAGTGCTTTTCCTATCCACCTCATGATCGGTGTCCACATTGTGGGCCAGAATGGCGCTACTAATGGTCCCGGCACCCCCTTGAAGCAGCCAACGAGGGAAATGTTCGTTCACGCGTTTGGGTAACTGCCGCGCCGTTCGACCGATATACGTTGCGCCACAAGCGCACACAAATTGATAGCTTACCATTGAGTTGGTCAGCATCGGCATCTTTTCCTTTTTTTGTGAACGAATGTGTGGTTCCGTTGGAAACACGCACTTCAACGAGGCTGCTGAAAAGGTCGACTTTACCGCCGTTGAACGGCTTCTGGTTAGACGCTCGGTAGGCGCGTCCCCTTTGAATGGGAAACGAATAAATAGCTCTTTCTTTGCTACTGTTAACACTAGTATTGGTCTGGGTTTTTCTTGGAAGTTCCTTAAAATAAATCTATCTGGAAGACTGTTTCCACGCAGAATATTCTGTATGAACATTAACTCCGCGTCTAAGTTGTCTTCCGTACAGATTCGACGTGCTCTTGAGGTAAGACAGTGAACCAGGTTGCGCTTGTTTCTCATAGGAACGAAACTGTGCAAGTTCGTGTATTGACCTATCTACGTTGTTTTTCTGTAGACCTGACACTTGATGGATCCGTCTGGTCTCCTAGTTAACAAGACATCGAGATATGGTAGCCGATTATCGCTTCCCTTCTCATAACTAAAGTACGCTGCTGCATGCACTCGGATTAAGTGGTCAAGAATTTCATCCAGATTAATATGTTTATCTATCACAATAAATATATCGTCCATGTATCGATGGTAACGGTCAAAAAGGTCTATCGTCGCCTGCATTTTGGTTCTCTCTAGCTTTGCTATGAAGGTATCCGCTAATCGCGGTCCGAGGCGGGATCCCATGGCCACGCCGTCCTTCTGCCGGTAGTATTTCCCGTTGAATAGAAACTGCATATTCCAGGTGCAGCGTAACAGTAGTCCTTTGAGCGTAGGTATACACACTTTTATTCCTGACTCGCCTATATAGTCGCAAATTTAATCGATCGTCTCAACCAGTGGGACGTTTGTAAAAAGAGAGACGACATCGAAAGAGAGCATTACTTTCTCATTGATTTTATCATCCTTGATGCTTTCGACGAAATGGAAGCTGTCACGAAGGCTGTAGATAGCGAGTTGTTGTCGCACAGGTTCAAGAAGTTCTACAAGCCACTGAGCGACGGCATGGTACGGTGAGTTGACCATTGATAAAATAGGACGAAGTGGGATGTTGGCTTTGTGGATTTTCGGTAACCCGTAAAGTCTTGGGACGCTTGTGCCACTCGGTTTAAGGCTGTCATACAGAGCATCTGAAATGTACCCCTTGGCCCGGAGTTCTTGCAAGCTCTTAGCTGTGTTTCAACTTGTTCAGTTCGGTCCCTTTTTCCTTCTGTGCACGCAAACTTTGTCTCATCGCTCAGTATTGCCGTTATTTTATATACGTACTCCTTTCTATCAAGTAACACGATTCCAGCACCTTTGTCCGGTCTGCGCAGGACGATTTCCTTATTGCGCTTTAGTTCCTTCAGCGTATCTAGGTGCCTTCTTGTTATCCGGCCATGATTACGGACGCGCTGTTTGCGATACTGCTAGCAACAATTCACCAAGTAGCACTTGAAACGTTCAAGTTCCGTGTTCGATTTCGCGACTAACCCTTTCGTCTGATCATATAAGCTTTCAAATTGTAACTCCAGATCCAGCTAGTTATTCCTACGTCTGGGAGCGCAAAACTTTGAGTCAAACGATAGAACTTCCATCAAAGTTGCGTCCATGTTCAAACTAGAAAAGTGGTATACATACCTGTCTGGCCTGTTTGGAAACGTGGCTTGCGGCCTAAGCTGGCTTAGCGACTTTGTTAAAGAAGACCGCCTCCGCTGTACACGGTTGCTAGTGATAGACTAAACCTAGTCCAGAAACATTTTCTTTTCTTCAGCAGCCAATTCATCCGTTGCTGTGTGGCCTTGTGCTATATTTCTTTCGTATTCAGCACTCTTAGGCTGCACTGTATCACGTTGGTTTAATGCATGTCGTCTAAGAGTCTTGCTATTGGGATAGATCCGATCACGGCGTAACTGCTTCCAAAATC